TATGCTCTTGACGCCGAATATGACTCATAGAGCATATGATGAATAATCTACACATGTGAATAAGCATGGCAATTAGCAATGAAGACTGATAGTGAGGAGTTGCACTTCATTTAGAGCCAAGTTCTCAGTTGGATGAGCTCCAGGTGAATACTTCTACCACCAAGTAGGTCAAATCACACATTTATTTTGTGATGAAGTCAAAAGGGGATAAAACAAAAGCTCTAGAGACTATTGTGTATTACATCAAACATAAGATATTATTATATATGCCTATAATAATAATTTTAGTCATAATTTAGGTTCAACAGATGCTTTTTGCCATCTATATATACAAAGTTTTATCAACACCTTCACTCTTTCAGAACAAAATTCATCGTGTGCAAAGTTAGCGTATTCCCTTCCTGTTTCTCACTTAATCATGTGAGACTAAATTATCATAAACTTTAATTCATAACAAAGTAATCATTTTCATGGAGACTGTAATAATATTCATTAATGCAATATTATATTTATAGCAAAACATTAATGCTGTCACTTGCTCGCAAAAGCTACAATAAATAGAATTATCAATAAAAACAAAACTGCATTTAGTAATGGAAAAAGAGCAGTGCTATCTGGTAGAATCAATAATGGCAAGTTTCCTACTCGCTTATTTGTTGAAATCCATGCTTCACTTAAGCTGCCATACACCAGGAAAACGAGAACATCAACTTCCATTGCAACCGAGTCTGGAATGAGAGAAGGAAGATAAAATTACCTAATTACTAGAACAAGTAAGTTTCTAAAGAATAAAAAGATATGCACAAATATTTAAAAAATATTTGAAGTTCAATGCATAATTGATAAACAGTGCATGGTAAAAATTTAAAAGCAGCACAAGTGGTACAACTTTTTAATTCCATTTAAGTTTCGGTATTTATAATTTAAAGACAGACATTACTGTATAGCCGGTAATTCTCATGGGTTGCAAAGTTCATGGATTTCACGTATTCCTTATTGATTCACGAAAATTAATTTAATATGGTAATTGCATGGTACACGTGGTAGAATTCACGAAATTAAAATCCGCGAATTGGATTGTTAGTAGATTTTGCGAAATACAGGACCCAAAAATTACCAGCCATACGGTATTATATGTACATGTATTAGAAAAGGCTTACTGATACTGCATTGTGTCCATTCAACAGGTACAATGGATAACAAACAGTAGTCCCCCAACTCAACAGTCAACAATCAAATGATTAACACATGTTAGGCTGAGGTTGTCCTTGCCTGTAGCCAATCTATGATAAAACAGTCAAAAAATTATAGCTACATGTACATGACATCAACTAACTTTAACACAAGCATCCGTGACAACAAGACGCACCTAAAAGTGTTCAAATTAAGTTGTCAGTACTTGTACTTTACCAAAAATATCAATAAATGACTTTAAAATACACAAATCCTGATATACAAGGGAGTGGTGACCCTGTCCCGTCCAACAAAGATCAGGAACTGGTTCGTCACTACAAGACGCACCTAAAAGTGTTCAAATTAAGTTGGTAATACTTGGTATATATCCATTAATCCCATTAAAATACACAAATCCTGATATACAAGGGAGTGGTGACCCTGTCCCGTCCAACAAAGATCAGAAACTGGTCCGTCACTACAAGACGCACCTAAAAGTGTTCAAATTAAGTTGGTAGTACTAGTACTTTATTGTAAATATCAATAAATAACTTTACCGTTTTAGGTTATAGACATTGATCCATTCAGTTACTCCTGGCTCACAAGGATGAATTACAATAGCATCATATATCTACATGTACACACAGTATGTTATACAGTTGTATCAATTAATACTAAAATTAATTATGCCATTATTATTATCACTGATACCTGAAGCATCATTGAATTGACCGTTTCTTTTTGCTTGTAAGTCAAAAAAATCACTATCTTGATTTCCACAGCAAAAGACATATGACTCAAAGATAGTGATTGTCTCCAGCAGAGAAGTGACGGATGCAATGAGATTTGGAATGCTACTGTCCTTTAAACTAATGGTATTTCCCATAGTTTTGACAATAAATGAAAAATTCTGATAAATTTCAATAGTGAGAAGTACCTTGCAATTTAAATTGTCAGTAATATAATTACTCGTATACTAAATATTTACCTGTAAACTACCATCAAAATC